AAGCACTAGAAGAAACATATACCTTCCTTGAGAAATAAAAGACGATATATATATATATATATATATATCGTAGTTATTTTACTATTAGAACTCATAATCCCAATACCTTGTTCCCGGGATATTAAAATATATTAATATGTATAATATTATCGATACTAGGACAAATTCAACATATCTAGTTTTACGCGATTTGCATTCTCCTTTTTAACGCGGAACTCGTTTCCCTTTCGTTAGGACACCGCGAATTAAGAAATACGATCGATCAATAAACGCTCGCGTATTACAAGTTATTATGTTATCCGCTAATTAATATTAATAAAGCACCGGAATCGATAGTCTTAAGAGGTGATACGATCGATGCAAAAATGAATCACGTCTTTGAACATGCAAGCAGTGCTCATTGCTATTCGCAGTGTCTAGCGATCGACATGAGTGAACCTAATTAATCCAACCGTGAGAAATCGATACGTGTAGAGTATTAGAAACCTATAAATCGATGTTTACACTTGTCTCGATACTTAATCGTATTTTCCAATACATTTCTTAAAATCTTTCTTCGACCATTAGAAAGCATTATTTTCACAGCCTAATGCATAAAATTTTCAATATTTCTAAATCCTTTCGTTATTTGATCCTTTTGGCACGATTTTGCAACCCTTTGCACTCGAGAGGCACCCTTCAGTCGCCACTTGATAAAATTTCGAAGATCGATATTAATTAATATGTCAAATTTAAGATAATGCAATGGTGTGCGAAATATCGAAATCAAATAATTCCATGTATTAATTATTATACGGTTTCGTATTTACTGCTGAAAAAAATATCGTCAGCTTTATAGCAGAAAATCTTTCAACTCCTACTCTTCTTTAACCAAAATATCGAGCGCAAGGGTTAATCCTATGTTCGCGTGTCTTATGGAAATATAAACGCTTATAAAACGGGAATTAATCTCAATTGGATTAAAAGGCTACGTTGGAGCTCGTTTAACTTAATTAATGTATGTACACACGGATCATGTTAACTTCAATACCATCGCTGTGTAAAATTCTATTAAACGAATTCAACGTTTGAGATATTCGTGCATAACACGTACAATCATTATGATACTTGTACGATATAATTTTTCGAATCTCTAAATTTCCGAATAAAAATTTCTTAATTTAAAAGAGAGATATTTGAGACGATTAAATTAATACTTTGCACTCGACGATTTTTTCGTTACAGAAAGATAGTAATTATAATAGAAGACCTTTCGCCATAAAGTCGACGATATTTTCAAAAAGGGAAAATAAGAAATCACATAGAAATTAAGAGAATTAGAATTATTTTATTTCAACATTCCACTCATCGTTGGATAATTTTAAATTTGATATATTAATTAACATCGATTAAAGGGCGACTGAGGGAGTGCAAAGGGTCAATATTTCGCAGGTGCATTAATTCGAGTTGAAGTCGAATTAATAATTAAATCTCCAGTAGAACAGTATATTTTGAAAGGAAGGCTGCTTGTATTTCTTTAGATCTCCGAATCGAGATCAGCCTGTATAATTTAAGGGTTCATTGGTGCCAAGTTCTCAAGGTTAGAGGTGTCTCCCTATGAACGATATTTTTGGGACGAGAGAAATTTTCACTAAAATTATTTGACCCCGGTGGCCATCGTCCCTTTGGGTCCTCGCCTCTGCTAGCTCTAATTTTAACGAAACCGTGATTCACATGCATTTTACAAGCGGTCGCGCGATATATGAACTCTTCGTGAATCTCTCGAGCTCAGAGGGTCTATATTTTTCACGCTTATGTTCCTCATAAAGGAACAGATATTTATACTACGACCCCACCGAAGTGACTACTTATACAAATTCACAGTGGAAAAATTGTTTCATCAAAAAACAAATTTCTTTCCTATCTTAAAATTTGAAAATATAAATATAAATTTGAATAATGGGGTACGATATAGTTTATATTTCTACATATATTCAGCACTGAGTATTTGAATATAAATTGTACAATGTTTGTTATAATTTTCATTTTTTAAAGATTATTTTAATTTTAAAATTAAAATTAATACCGTGAAAGTAAATTGAAGAATTTCTAAATGCACACACGTATCAGTGGAAATATGATAGTGTGAGCTTCCATACAACATAACACATCACTGTACATGTAGTAAACAGTAAGATTGCTGTCTAAAGCAGTTTTCGTTGCTTCGAAGTATCGATAAAGCCTCAGTGACACTAGAAATTGCATTCCACGATTCTTCCCACGAGATAATAAGAATAAATCAAACAAATCAATGGAATTTAATTAAAAAATAATCGAGTCAACAAAATCAGCGAACAAAATGGAATCCAATTACGCGAACATAATTTTCACATCAATATACCACACAAAACAACTTCAAAATAATAATCCCGATATAATCACAGTATCACGTTATACACATATAATACATTTGCCCCATTATTTTAACCCTCTGCACTCCACGACTTTTTGGACAAAGAAGGGTAGTAGTTCAAAGATTTTCTGTTACAAAACTGACGATATTTTTCTGAGCAGTGAATGAGAAATCGTATGATAATTAACACCTAGAATTATTTGAAATTTCACACATTTCTGAATATCGAGCTTCGGAATTTTATCAAATGGCGACTGAAGGGCGCCTCTCGAGGATTGAATTTATTACACCACACACAGGATCATCGTAATAATTTCAAAATACTCGGAACACGATACGATGCTGTTCAAACTTTTGTCATAACTCTAAACGTTCCAAATTCTCATATTACCCTATATCCGCTTATCAACTCCCTTCTCATCTCGCCAAAAAAATAATTATATCGACCATCGAAGGACCTCGTGATAATACTTAACCGACACGATAACGCGATTCGATTTAAACCTATGTAGCAACATTCTTAGCTATGGTACGAAGCAAAACAGTCCACTTCCTTTTCCTCATCCTGTTGTTCCGAAAGGTCCCGGGACAGTTCGAGGTATCGATAAGGCCCTGTCTCACTCGGGCCTCCAGAGGCATTCCATGATGGCAGGGACCTTTACCCGTTGTTTATAAATAATTGTCGTCGCAGTCGATAAAACGCGGACGCATACATTTGCATTGAAACGAAATCCCCCGGGGACTGACTCATTCATAGCAGTCGCACGAGTCCACAATCGATCTGTCAGTCGAGCAAGACTGGTCGCTCTGGAAGGGTTGCTACGTTTCGCCTCAATCGGACACGATTCGAAGCCGAAAAATCGTGTTCCATCCCTGGTGCATTTATTCGGAGAAGATTCGTGTTTACGAATTCGTCGAGTTTACGCGAACGAGTGTCGAAATTTTTATTTTTCTTCTGTGATGGAAGATATTGAAGACGTTCCTGTGGTCTCGTACAGTCGTCACGAAGCTTTTCGGTCCAGGAAACTGCTTTTAATTCACTGGTGTAATAGCTTCGAGTGATTTTTGTGATTAAATGAGAACCAAGTGTAGTTTAGAAATTTCGCGTTGCTCGGATACGACAGTGAAATGAAATTAAACGAACAGGATTGCGAGAAGAATAATTGTTACGTGGTTTTATGATAGAGTAGTTTACATGAAGTACTCTTTAGTAATTGAAGATTGGAAGTTAATAAATTCTGGAGTTGGGGAATAATGCTCGAGTTAATAATCTCGTTTGATTAGTTGATTTTGAAATTGTAATCATTTTATAATTTGAAGGAGTAAACTGATTGTGGATATGTTCGATGCAAATGTTTTTCAAGTATCGATCCAGAGACTGAATAGCTAGATGGTGACAACTCTGTGATGTACCTTATCAACATGACAGTTGCGTACAACAATGGTAAGATACACGATTGTTCAACAAGACGATTGTTTAGTAAATACATTGTAGGATTTTGAATTTTATACCGAAATAATTTTTCTATGTTGCTTTCATAGTTTTCCGAATAATGCAATTTTTCTATTTTATTCGGTATAACAGATTTTTATTAAAATATATTTTAATTATTTTCCTATAATTTTCCGTATAATTTTCTTGTTTAAAGTATATCACCCATTTTACGTTCTTTATATTCTTCACTAAAACACACGATACCACGGAAGTAATAAATTAATCAAACGGGTAAATTAATTATTGACAACCTGATTTTCTTTATTTCTTTACAGTTATATAGCTCTATGGTCGCATAGTAGTTATATAGTTCATTACTGTAATAAAAAAGTGTCAACAAGCAATCAAACGCAAAATGATATCTACGGTGAACGTTGCCAAACCCTTGTATGATTTAGATACTGCAGTTCTTCAGGTGTTTGCACAGCAGAACACCATCAAGCTGCTCGATAAAAATATATAAAAATAAAAATCGAGCTCATTGATTACCGGTATTCATCGTGAAACTTATTTACCGAAGTGATTCACCGAAGATCCAACGCAAGATGCATAGTTATTATCCTTTTCCGGTTAAACATAGTTACATACCATAAATCTGCTACGCATTATCGTTAACCGTACTCCGGTCCCAATATTTTAACCCTTTGCACTCGACGATTTTTGGCTAAAGAAGAATAGAACTTCAAAGATTTTCTGTTACGAAGCTGACGATATTTCTCTGAACAGTGAATAAGAAGTCGCGTGGTAATAAACACGTAGAATTATTTGATTTCGACACCTTGTACACTGTTACATTATTTGAAATTTGACATAATGAATATCGAGCTCCGAAATTTTATCAAATGGCGACTGAAGGGTTAATTTATTCGATAGATGAAAAAGACATAGGTCCATAGAGTGCACTCTTTCATCAATGACACACGGTCTAATTCTCTGAACCATTCCAAAACAAGTAAATTAGGAATTTAGAAATTTTAATTCATCATGTAACGTGACCTAGCATAGTATCAAGTTTCTTTCACGTTTTGTTGCAGGCGACAGCTCACGATGCGCTCGCACCGAGTCTGAAAGGTCGCGACAAAAGATTCGGGAGGGTATACGGAATCGAATTTACTCCAGGACCATAATCCTGCCCGTAATCACGCGGAACTCGTCGAAAGAGACCACGATTCTTCGAAGCTCCACGGAAGACATGTCTCAGGTTCCACTGATCTCGCCCGAAGAAAGCCCAATGATGGGACCCTCGACCTGCAACATGGTGATACTCGAGGTAAACGAAGTTCCTATTTCCTAAACAACAATGAATCTCATTTATTATCCAATGTGTCAAACGATGTCCAATGTCTCACGATTACACGCGTTCCCTGATCATTTTACGTCCACTTTTATCGACTTTTATCACCACTTATGCTTTTTTTAACCACTTATCGACTATTTGCTTAATCCATAGATAGGCTTAAAATGAACGAAACTGCAATAATTTCAACACGATAAGTTTTTCACAGTCTACTCTAACGGAAGATTAACCCTTTGCGGACTAGCGCCGCATATATGCGTTCGGCTGAAACTCTGATAGGGCCGAGGGACTTATAAACGTGCCCATGTAAACGCTAGGGCCGAGAAACACATATATGCACCGGCTGTTGCGGCCCTAGGACCGCACGTCCCAACTGTTTTTAACCCTTTGCACTCGGGAGGTGACTCTCAGTTACCATTTCATAAAATTTGGAAGATAGATATTAATTAATATATCAAATTTAATGTAATGTAACAGTGTGCAAGGTATCGAAATCAAATAATTCTACAATTCTATTATTATAAAATTTTTTATTTACTGCTCAAAAAAGTATCGTTAGTTTTTTAATAGCGAATCTTTGATTTTCTACTCTTCTCTAGCCAAAAAATCGTCGAGTACAAAGGGTTAATCCAACGGCTATAGTACTCTGTTGGTGCCTATACTCAGTACCGTACTGTCAGTTGAAAATATCTCTAGCCATTTTGCCATTTCTAGCCAATTTATCTATACACTGATTATTCTAGAATTGCTATAGGATTATACCATCAGTCAACACATTAATCCATCGGCTACAGTACTCTATGTCCTTATTGCCAGCGTCGCTATGAATGAAAATCGCGTTTAAATAAAAATAAGCGATGGTAGTTTCGAATGACTGACTGACTGGCCCCAGGAACCGGAGTTAGACTTTCCGTTCGGACCCGGCCGGTCCTCAGTGACCAGACTAGGACCAAAAGGTGCTAACTTTTGGTGTTAAATTCTTCGCCATCTTTGGACCTAACGTTTGGGAATTCCTGTTATAACAATTGGTACAGTATCTCCGAATTTCATGAACACTTTGCCCGCCGCTGGTGGCCCACTTGACGGCCGAGTCTGGGCCTGAACGGAACGGCAAGCAAAACGGGTTGGGCACTTAACGTGTTATCAAGGAGAGTGCAAGTCTTTCGGGTCATAGATTTAGTTGAGATTTTGTAAATTTGTAAATTTAGCCATCCAGTTCAAGAAAGTATATCATTATAAGGGCAACTACTCGATATTTATGATTAAAGCTTTATTATTCTTAACTAAAGATTTCTTCGGAATAATTATCCAATAACTCGACTAAATCAATGACCCGAAGGACTTGCACTTTCCTTATAAGTAGAAATGAACGGTGACAGTTTTGAACGACTATCGCGACAGCGGCTGGATCCCATGATGGTACACGGTTTACTCAAAACCGCTCCGTCCGCAAAGGGTTAATATCCTTCGCGTGTATCGAACAGCGAAGAAAGTAATAGATTGTTTGTATTTTAGGCAGACTCCATTAGCCAGCCTCCAGTTTGGCCTCGCAGTTCCTATCCTCTTAGAAATTAAAACGAAACCCCGCGAAACGATTAACCCCTCCACATCGAATATCGACCAGTCTCGATGTCTACATTCGTAGCTTCTTTCACGAAACTCTCATACTTCACGAACGAAAACCATTCTCTGCTTCGAAGCGACACCATCAACGAGACCATGTCAGCAGGGGGAGCCAGAGGAGAAGAATGCTAGGAACTCGAGCGCTTGTCACGCACCCTTAAATTCATTCCTCACTCTCACGAGATCCATAACTCGATCCACGGCATCCTGAGAGACACTCCGAGAAAGAAGTTTCTTTAACTCTGGCTAAATATAGGTCGGTCTACCTGGTGACACGTGGAGATACTGCGTAGAAAGGGAACGTCTGGCCGAGAGGTCGGAGTGGTTCCGCGCGATGCTCGTGGGCCCCCTAGCACCTGCACCGAGCGATCCTCCGCCTCTTCTGAAGCTGCAGCACGTGGAAAAGCGCGCCTTTGATTATCTGCTCAGGTAAATCGCCGGTGGATCGAGCTGCTAAGAGATATCGTATTTGTAAAAATACTCGAGATATCGAGCATTCGTTAAATTCGATTGTCCTGATCTAAACTAATATACAGTGAGATAATAAATAAAACGAGATGATAGGAGCAGGGAACGAGAATGGTGAAGATGCGTGTAAGAAATATATGTAGAAAATTAAGATAAACGAGGGAAGTGGAATGAAGAGGAATTTTGAGACATGTGGGTAATACAAGAAACTTGGTAAACGAGTTAGTAAATAAATATAATCACAATATTTATCTCCTTTATTAGAGATATATAAAATAAATTTCTGCTTGTAGTCTAGATAAATTATAATTAAAATTCAGAATTCTAAAATTCTAAAATTCGTTGGGAATAGGATATGATTATATTTTAGAATTAATATTAACTCGAATTGAATATAATCACAATATTTATCTCATTTATTGGAGATATATAAAATAAATTTCTGCTTGTAGTCTAGATAAATTATAATTAAAATTCAGAATTCTAAAATTCTAAAATTCGTTGGGAATAGGATATGATTATATTTTAGAATTAATATTAACTCGAATTAATTATAAAGTCTTGCGCCTTATTTCTTTTTGTTTCCTTTTCTAAAAACGACGGCTAACCAAAGATTTCAAATTGATTGAATCTCGAATCTATCAAGATAATTGTGAAAACGGTAAAGGGAACACGAAGGTCGTACTCACATAGGAATCGAAATAAACGTCGCAGAAAGTATATGTCTACCCCCCATTATAAAAGCAAGGTCTCGAGGAGGGTACTTCTACGACACAAATGAAGCCAGGACCAGGGTACAGTAGGATTTAAAAATATTAACCAAAACGATAAAAGAATTTGATAAATTACATCTCACGTTAATCGGTAATTTATTAACTTTCCAAATTTTACACACATACACGAATAAATGAAAAAAACGAATTTTCTCAAAGGATCGATTACATAGTTTCAAACACTTAAAGAGCAAGTAACAGTATGGCAACGTCTTTATGTACACTAACAATAATTGGCATAATCGCGTATTTTTGGATTCTCATTTTAATTACATTCCCATTGATAGTTTGCTGTAAACAGAGAATGATCAAGCCTCGTTGTCCCAGGAAAAGATGTTGCAAATGTGATCTTGCACAGCTGTCTTAAAATTCGCAAAATCCAAATTAACGTGCACACATATCTCTACGGAAAATATTTGATGAAACAAATTTACTCGATGAAAGAATATACGAGATGAAGTCGAAAAGCAAATATATAACGAGAATAAAGATGCAGTTGGTTAAAAGTATGGTTAAAAATTTCAGTTCGACGAAAAAATTTCAATTCTCCAGGCAACTGTTTTCCCTCGCATCAACTCGAAGTATATTCTTTTCTGCGCAGATATCTTCGCGACGAACCGATCAATTTTCAGTCCGTGTCCACGGCTAGATCAACCCTCGACGCTGCTCATCAGTATCTCTGCTCGGAATTAGCAAGGCTCGCTGTTCAATATCTCGAAAGGAACTTAAACTCTAATACTGTGCTCGAAATCTACCAAGGCCTCAGTCTCTATGCCAACCATGTAACCTCTAGCTATAGCTGGTCATCACCCACGGCTCCTCCAGCACCTGGAGACGATGCTGGAGAGATAGGTATGACGAGAAAATTAAGTATAATCCAATTAGGTCTGATTAGGTGACATAATATCCACGACTACTTGCGGTTTATTCTGTCACATTGCGATACGTTCAATTATACTCAGTTCGCGTGTAAGGGTACTATTGTACTATATAGAGAGCTTTCTTCATCTATTTGACCTCGGTAACACGTAGTCTCAGTTTGATCCTAGCCTCTTTGGACACCCTGTATATAGGAATCTAATACATTTTTGTCTCTAATATTATACAATTAATACGGTGAATGCCATGGTGGTCATCAGGGAACTTGTCTTCTCAATGGGAGCATGGTGGTCACCAGTGTCTGGAGCTACTAAATTTTCAAATTTATATTTGTTTTATTCTAACCAGTTTTTGAATATTTAAGTGCAAAGGTAAATAAATAGAGAACTTTGCATAGAAGACATTAATAATTTGTATCATTTTTTTTATTTTTGTTATATTATTTAGTAATTCATCATTGTGTCAAGAATAATGGAAATTTTATCGTGACCCCCTGAGTGTACCATATAAAAGGTGCATGAGAGTGAAAGTGTTAACCCTTTGCGATCGATATCCCTGCAGCAGGGACATTCGCAAGTCGAAGAAATACAGAAAACTACAGAAAATTACAGAAATTAAAAATTTTGTATTTTTACGTATTATAAGTAGTATTAAACACAAATCAGTTTCAACAAATTCTATGCGATTTTATATCCATATATAAATATGGATTTTAAATCCTGTACAGAAAAGTAACTGCGAAATGCTAAATTTTCTCTGCCGAAATCTGCCGACCGGAAAGGGTTAAGTGTAAAATCATACCTGTCAATGCTCGCAATGAAGGACAATTATTTGTTCTAATTATTTCTCCCAACGATGAAAGATTCTAACATCTACCAAGCACCGTCTCGTCTTCTCTATGATTAGAACGAATGAACTAAAAGCTCGTTGAAATGTTAGCCATAGTCTGCACGCGACTTCTGCACTCCTGCCTGAACGTGATCGACTCGGAACCGGAAGTTGTGATCAGCCAGGAACACTTCGAGGACCTGACCTCCGCGGAGGTCGAGGAGCTGTCGTGTCGGGACACCTTGAGGTTGTCGAAGGAATCGATACTGTTCCACGCGTTGGACAGGTGGGCTGCGTCCGAGTGCAGAAGAAACGGAGTCGAGCCATCAGCTAGCAATAAGAGGTCCGCATTGTCGGACGATGTTTGGTACAACGTTAGATATCCACTTATGACTGACAGAGAATTCATCGAGGGACCTATGGCAAGCGGGATCCTCTCCAGCGAGGAGTCGGCTTACATCGTGTCTAGAATTTTGGGACATGCGGAAAACTACGAGAACGAGGAAGTATGTTTGCATTTTTCAATATACGTATATATTTAACACGTTAAACGCCACGTCGGTCCCTAGGGACCGACGCTAGACTTTCCGTTTGGGTCTCACCGGTCCGTACGGCCCGGAAGGGCCCGCATGATGGCTAACTGTGGCGTGGACGGAACGGCACGTAAAACCCGCGTGACGTTTAACGTGTTAAACCTTTCACTACGAAAGACGTATATATACGTCCTCACAAGTCTATCACTATATACGAAAGACGCATATATACGTCCGCACAAATTTATTAATATATACCAAAGACGTATATATACGTCCTCACAAGTCCATCATTATATACGAAAGACGTATGTATACGTCCTCACAAGTCTATCATTATATACAAAAGGCCTATATATACGCTTTTACAAGTCTATCAATATATACAAAAGACGCATATATACGTCAACACAAATTTATCAATATATATGAAAGACGCATATATACGTCCGCGCAAATTTATTAATATATATGAAAGACGCATATATACGTCCGCACAAATTTATCAATATATACGAAAGACGCATATATACGTCCGCGCAAATTTATCAATATATACGAAAGACGCATATATACGTCCGCGCAAATTTATCAATATATACGAAAGACGCATATATACGTCCGCACAAATTTATCAATATATACAAAAGACGTATATATACGTCCTCACAAGTTTAATATTATATACGAAAGGCGTATATATACGTTTTTACAAGTCTATCAATATATACGAAAGACGTAAACATAGGCTCCCTACATTTTCCTTACTCTATCACTTTTGCTATTTTACCAATTGATTTCACCTGAAATATAACATAGCAATTGAATATCGGCAATTGTTTCAATATTGTTCTGTCAGTTGTCAAATATCGCGCCGTCTGTATTGATGATTCTCTTCGAGAATGTACCCCAGTCAAAGGGTTAAGAAAGGAAGGAAGAATTTTGATTAGAAAATTTTGTTAAATTAAAATGAATTTGCTACCTTGGGTAAAATTAATGCTGATTTTTATCGATATAAAAATTGGTGATTATGTTATACATATATGTATTTATTTTTATTGTTTTTATTATTGTATGTACGCTTATGTATTTATATGTAATAATAGTTTTATTGTATATATTGTTAGTATATATTTACGTTACTTTAATTATCATCACTGATTCAGATTGGTAGTTCTATTGATAACATATGAAATATGATATTGTAGATAGAGAATTAGACAAGGAACGATTAGTATTTGCGTACTTATTACGATTGTTCTGTCTGTTCTCTCTTGCACTTCATACGATAATCTTCTGCAATTGGATAAGCGCCATATTGCTCGAAGTGGTATCCAAGTGAAAGTGAAACACCAACGTTATCAGGAATTAGTACTTATCTTATGGCTGAAAACAGTGTCCATGATCACTATCAGGCAGTGCTCTTTTATCTGTCCTGGACTATTGATTTAACAGTGCGCCCAAAATCCATCTATACCAAATCCATTTATTGAATCGCTCGAGTCAGTCTTCGATTATCTTTTGTGTGGTATACTAACTGTGCTTTCATGAGAATAGTTTCTTATCACCTCGGCTGGTATTTACACGTTAAAAATTAAAACAGATAAAACAATAAAATCCTGTCCGTACCGATACACACGTATATCGAAGAATTTAGCGAGAACAAAGCAGTGAACCAACTAACACTTGGTCCTAAGTTTCATTTTTATAGTGTCTCACCTACCCACGAAGTGCAATATGGCGATTAGAAAATATAAAATACGTCATACGATGAATGATACCAAACCTAATGGCAAATATGTCAAACGTAGGAGAGTGGTAAATAAATTATCATACTTTTCGCACTTTATATACTTAATTTTCTTTATGTTCAAAGTATAACGCGTTGTGAAAATGTTTATTTAATTTTCATAGTAAAACATTTCAGAGTAAACACAGTGGACAGTGAAACCAGCGTAATTTTACTTGTTTCGTGATTTATTTGTGTTCCATTTCGGTATTATTTATCATCGTGAAACATTTTCTAATTACTGTACTACAATTTCAAGCTGTACATATTTATACGTAAAATAGGATTTTATTTTCCCTTAAAAAATTTATTTAACGATTCCAAAGGATTGGAAAAGTTATTACTTAAAAGGAAGATTTAGTCAACTGTCAAAAATGTCAATTTATTTTCTCTTACAGTTGAAACTTAATTCAGAAAAGAAGAAAAGATATTTCGATTACATGGAACGATTATATAAGAAAGTTTGATATTTTTTGCCCATAGTTTCGAAATTCGATCACTGGCCCATTGCCCAGGCTGACCAGCACCCCAAGAACCAGTGTTAGACCGTACGAGGACCAAAGCTGCAGGATGTCGAAACCAGGGAAGAAAGAGTGCCAGGACAATCGAAAGAACAGAAGAAAGGAATGTGCAAATCAGGGACACAGGACTTGTGCGAGAATCGGTAATTGCCTGGTGCGAGTTCTCGCCTGTATTTTCGATTAAATGTCGAAGAGGAGGCTGAAGAGGAAGAGGAATCGATGAAACCGGCAGATTCTTGAATCTCCCACCGAAAACTACAATTTATTTTCTACCATTCTCCGCGTCTTTGTAACACACCATTTTTCGCCTTCCGATTCGTTTAAGTTTTAGTGAAGTTGCATACTAATTTAGATTCTAAGGATAAATGTTTTGCGTTGGATCGATATTAACACTCGTCTGCTAAATGCTGCTAAGATATTGTTCAGGGCTTATCCTATAGATCTCCGTTCGTTTTCGTATTGTCTGTACTTCTTTTCATTTTTGCGAACAATGGATGTCGTACAATGACGAGAAAGCTGAAAGAGGCTGAGATTTAACTATTATACGTTTGTTAATATCCCTTTCCGTTAATTTATACAAATTTTTCAATATGACGTTCCTTCTTGCGAAGAGATAGTTTCTTAGTATAGAAAGATTTTTTCACGTTTCACTTTTTCAGTATAGAAAGGCTTTTAAATGATTGAAATATTTCCCTTACATATTTTATCATTTTTACGTATTTTGTATGATTTAATTGTTATCGGATATTTACTTGTTATACAATTACAGTGAATTTCAATCTTGGAAAAATGTTACAATGGTGTTTCATGTACCTCAAAAATAATTTTATTCGTTACTCGTGCTTAATTTTTCCTACATGATGATAATAATCGTGTTATTGTTGTCTTATTATATTGGATATAGAATTAGTATTTACAAATCTTTTGATAAATTTAAAAATATAATCGATTCAACATCGGGGAAGAAATTTATTTAGAACCATTAAGAGTGATTTTTGTAGATATCGTTTTAAAGTTAGATAAATTTTAAAGAAACGATTCGAAGGCTAGCTTTGATAATAGTATACCTTGAAATGTGTATCGTTTGTAGGGCCAAATGATACGATAACGTATAAAATGATTGATCTCGTATCTTTTAAACTTCCTTATTATCTTTGATGCAAAATTTTAAATGCCCTTTATGATTATCTGTGAAGTTACCTATGAAACGTTTGAAAAGTATTTATAATTCTATATAACGAATGCTAAAAATTCTATACAGGCTGAATTATTAATATTAAAAATAATTAACCCTTTTGCTACGATAATTTAGTAATTGAAGGAATTTGTGGAACATGAGGCAAGAGAAGATATTTTATGCAGAAAGAAATGTACTTGAATTGTGTACTACAGGAAACGTATCTATGGATTTTTAGCAATTGGATACTAGATATTTGAGGATAGATTATGCGTTCTTCGCAGCGAAAGGGTTGAACATGTCGAGTTTTAACAATTATTTGCAAAAATGGCAGCCCTGTTTAGAGTTTTTAGTCTTCTATCGTCACTATTACCTGTATCCTGTTGTATGTTAATGCTACGTTCGTTATGTTCATAATTGCTGTTCAGAGTATATAGCGTTTAAATTATGAGTTAGAGCGTGGAGCCATGGCTGGTCCGTGTGAATGTGTGACGTTCAACAATGCAAACTTCGTTTTTGTAACAATTTTTCTATGCGTTATACCAAACGAATTGTCATTAACAATAATACTTTAATGCATTTTTTATAATCATTCTTGAGATTTTATATGTTTTACATAATTCTAACGACCATGTGAATCGTTACGTGGTTTCAAATTTACAGCTTCAAATTATCTCTTTACTAACAAATATATTCTGAGCTTAATTAAAGAGAGGATTTAATTTGGAGCTGACTCGTTTAATATCTTTGGTTTAAATCTATACACTCGGTTCAATTTCATTAGAGAATATCGATACAGTTAACTAATTATAAAAAGCTGGTAACCTGTTAAAAATTACTGCAAACCATTAAAAATATGTTTATGTATATTTAAATAGTAGCATATTGCTTCTATTTTTCTTTGTATAGTAAACATTCATATAGATATGTATTTAAATAATTTCATAATTAATTCGTCAAGTTAATAATATACATCGAGATTTTAAAAACCAATATAAATTTTAATATTCTAAACGAGTAACGATTAAATATATATTCTCATATTGGAAGCAGTTAAAGGACCTATCGAGTGTCTATGTTTAAGCCGGATATAATATACAATTGTTAACATCGAATTCTATTAGTAAACGCAATGTCGTGTCATTATAAGAAACACGAGAAATCATTGTGACATTATTGAAACGATGTTCATCGTTTTCACGTTAATTGTCAGATTTATTTAACTAGCGCCTTTCGCAGGCTAATGTCATAAATGGCCGCGTGGGCGTGCACTGTCGTTACCATTATAGGTTAGTCATTAAATCTCGTGTTGCTATTTGATCGGTTAAATTTTATTCATCGCGACTCGTTGTACTCGAATTACGTTAAGATCGAATGTTACTCTATCGAGTGTCGCTAAGTCTATTGTGTGTTGATGATTATTTATAAATCGATAGAATATTGCAATCTGATTACCTTGTTCGAATTAATTGAGCCAAATCTGTTGTAGAAACCAGTAAATTCATTCTGAATTACTAATCTTTTAGAGTAAGTAGTTCCTTTCAATGTACGTACAATAAATCTGTCAATTCATTTCATACATCTTGTTATAAATTTCTGTAAACCAAAAAAGTACTAAAAACTGCAAATAAAGCTTGCAAGTGTAATAATGAATAATAGTGAAAATAAATTGTGCATAAGATATTAGTAGTGGTTTATTATTCCTCTTTTTTTATATTGAGGAAATTGAATAACTTTTCATAAAAAGGAAATATCAAATTATTTTAACATATAAGATACGTATGTTTGGTTATGTTAAAAAAAGAAAACATACATGATATTTTATCGCCTCTTGGTGATGAATACTGAACAGTTGCTCAAATCACGTTTATTATGTAGTGCTGATGATTAGGTGGGGTATATATAATACTAATTCTTCAAATAAAGTTTGTTTATACACTGTCATATTCAGTTTCCGCCATTTAAACATTATTTTCTTTAGTGTGAAAAAAAAGTTCGGTTTCATAATATGGAATATAAAATGTCTAAAAATTATTTTTATTAAAAGTGTACTCGTAACACATCGATATATTGTTTTTATTATTTTATTTCCATATTACAAAAGTAATTTTATGAATATTCTATTATTAAATAATTGTAATATTGTAATTTCTATTTCATTGGCATTATATTTTTAATTTCTAATTTCTAAAATGTATTATTATTACATTTATCGTTTTCAAAGTTGAATGTATAGTGATATATTTAGTATATTTCGATATCTACCTCGAGGCAAAATGGCGACATACATACAGCGCAATTTAACGTCAATATTGTTTTTTCGTTCTTTAAATATATAGATATTAAAAATTAATAAAGTGATTGTTCGCAATTTTAAATCCTTAATCATTTTAATTATTATTTAAATAAACATCTGTTGGATGTTCTAACCTATTGTACTACATTTGTACACTATACATTTTGCAAGCTTTTGTATATCAAGTATGTTTTGACGTTTCTATTTAAAAATAATATTTGTAGAATATAAAAAGTTAACGAAACAGTGCTAAAAACAATAAAGAAAATGCATACAACTGGTGATTTCATCTTACATGGCGGTAATGCAGATTTTGCAAATAGACAAAAATTACTGTTTGACAAATTGTCAGATGCAGAGCAAGAATGCAGTAAGAATAAAATGGTCACTGAATCTACAAATATTGATGTGGATATTATTAAACCAAACCAATTCCAAATTTCAAGAAAGGACCAGAATTATAGAATTGAAATGAAAAGATTTCGTGGTAAAGAGAGTATCTTTAAGCAGCCAGAAGGTCCAGCACCACGTGCAGTTAATAGAAGTGTACCAGATTTTCATAAGAATCCTCACAAGTGGAAGAAATATAGTTTGGATGATGTATCTAATGATGATATGACAGAAGAGAGTAATACAAGGGCTGCATTATCATTTTTGAAAGAATTAAAAGCGAGAAAGTCAATAGAGAAAGTAAGAGAATCAGAGAAAATGGACATAGATGAATCTGATTTAATTAAAGAACATGAAATGAAAGTAGTATTTAAGTCCAAGAAAAGGAAAGTACCCATAGAAATTGAATTTAAAAAACCTGAAAGCAACACAAGTAAAGCAAGCAATATATCAATTATTGAAAATGATGATAAACCAGTCTTTAGGAGTAGTAAAATTATTATGCCAGAATATGTTGTTGGCCAAAAGAAAAAGAAAAAAGATAAGAAAGAAAGACAACCTGTAAAAATAGACAGATCCAGACAACTTAAATTGGATCATTTAGAAGAACTTGATGAAGAGGAAAATTGAATATTTGTGTGATATTAATATTGTAACTTGATTATTGTTTCCAAGATTCCAAGTTTCTTGTACACTATAAATATTTCATATGTTTTATTCATTAATGTATTTTGAATTAATATGAATAAATATGCTATACACATCTTACATATAAAATATTCTATACTTTATACGATTCTATTGAATTTATTCTATGTATAGAATAAATTCAATATAGATGTGCATTATAATAATTAGAATATTTTCTGTTTTGAGAAGTTTAAATAAGGCCGCTCTAGCTATTCCTTCCGGAAATGAAGCGACTGCGCATAAGCCAAGAATGTTATGGCTGTTTCCTGTCGGCTTTACTCGTTGGGTATTCAAAATTCGTCAGTCTGTTTTCGTTTTCATATATGTGATGTTAGTCGATGTACGATATACAAGATATTGTATTTTGGTAAGTTACGTAATATATTTTTGAAAAATTACGTACTTTGCTAAATGTTGGCAAAAAATTTATTTACACATTTGGAGGGGGAAAATTCATAACCTGTACATACCATACACACTATCCCGTCACTAATTCAAAATGGCGTGTTACCAGTGAACGAAAAACGTAGATCAAATTTGCGTTTTGATGTGGTGCTAAATTCGTCGTTCGTGTTTCTATATGTGGTGAATCGAATGTTCTTGCTAGGAAAGCAAGAAACAAAGAGGTTATGACACTATTCCCGTGTGTAACGTTTTAGGAAGTTTGTTAGTATATTCATAATCGAAGTACGGAATTAATAATGCAGGAAATCGTCCTAGCAGCCTTCTCCGTGATATCGAGTCTGCTCATAGTATTTGGCCTGGTGCTGCTGGGTAAGAACGACAGATAGTAACGTTCCGTTATTGCTGCGCGGTATGCAGAGTGTTTCGAAACATTGTTATCCGACCTGTCGAATAGTCGTATAGTTTCGAAATCGAAGGTATAGTAGGAGAGTTTGACTACATATTTAACCTTTCTCATCACGTGTATGCGCAATCTCGGCGGCTATTCTAGGTTTTGCAGATTTAAAACCTATTTTGTTTTGTATACTTTTCCTATAGCATATGTTATAAGAGAAATTTGCTATTTTCGTATTGTCTACCATATTAGTTATATCCTTATTATATTACTTAGTTTGTTCTAATTTAATATCTTTATTAGAAATAATATTTCAAAGAAATACTTTGAAATTATATGTAGTAGCTGTGCTTAATAGGAGTTTTAGTCTAAGACGATTAATCTTTATGGTATTTTTTCTCCTTACAGATCTGTTTTTGTCTTTTTTCACAGGTTGGTATTTAGTTTGGAAGTTTTTCCTTTCAAGGTTCAGGTTTGTTCGAGAACTGTTGGGTGGAATGAGTGAATCTTCACCTGTAAATGACTTAAAGAATGGTAGATCTCGCATGAAAAAAATTCGCAGAGATTAAAACCATATTTGTAAATTTGAGGCAAAGAGAGAACTAGAGAGGAAAGATATCAGAAAGAAAAAATTGACCAAAGCAAAATTGTCTTTCATTTGTGTATCTATAGTATAATTGGTCAAAATGTCTATAAATATACGTTGTGCTACAATCGATGATTTGTTGAATATGCAACATTGTAATTTACAATGTTTACCAGAGAATTATCAAATGAAATACTATTTGTATCATGCTCTTTCTTGGCCACAAGTAAGTTATGTGGCAGAGGACGAGAAAGGCAGTATAGTAGGGTATGTACTGGCTAAAATGGAAGAAGATTGCGAAGATAATCCACATGGACATATTACTAGCTTGGCAGTGAAAAGATCTCACAGAAGGCTTGGTATTGCACAGAAACTTATGAATCAGGCTTCCAGAGCAATGGTTGAATGTTTCGGTGCAAAATATGTTTCTCTACATGTTCGTAAAAGTAACCGGGCAGCTTTGAATTTATATACAAGCAGTTTGCAATTCGAATTGTCGGAAGTGGAACCAAAATATTATGCGGATGGAGAAGATGCTTATGCTATGAAACGTGATCTTAGCAACTTTTATATGGAAAAAAATGCACCAAAAGAGAAAACAAATAAAGACGGTAATACGCACATACATTTGGCAGATGCTATGATTGTTCATGGTCAAATTAGGCTGTCTACTTTGCATCATTAATTCCATATTATTACGACGCCATTGCAAGTCAAGCATTACGGCTTGAATGTTTGACATGTACATTATTATCACGAAAAACTTGCAAACATTTAGGATATTTGTGTTCATTCAAGCCTTACCTGAGACATATGAACTGTTTTATATGCCACTACAAAGGGGTGCACTTGTTAATAATTATACGGGGACTAGGAGAGACTTCTAAACTAATGTATGTACTTTAATGCAAATTGAGTTAAAAGGTTTCTAACAAATGTATCATTGCGTGTAGTTAATTGATATACTATGTTATTTAAGACCTATGAATCTTAATATAATAAAAATGATAAGCAGAGATAATTATAAAGGTTTTATCACTCTTTACCTGTATATTCAATTAATCTTTATTGAACCATTGAAACTATAATATACAAGTAACGCGCCAGTATACAAAATTATCACCCAGATTTCACCAAGCAAATTAAGTGCAAGATGATACCAACTTTTTAAAAGAAAACCTCTTTTGTTACTCATTCGTTATCCAATCTTTCAATATGCGTTACGTAAAATGATTCTTGTTATCCCCTTCATTTCTAAATACTTTATATACTTCTTTGAGTATGATCCGATGCTTAAAAATTAAAGTTCGACGATTGCACAATTTTTAAATATTTCGTTTCTTCTGTCACTGTTGCGTTGGTACATTATTGTATTTGTGTATACATCATAATAGGAATAATTATAATATACATGTATATGTATATATATTTATATGTATATATATATATATAAATATACTTATGTACACGTTAAATGTCCTTAAAGTAACACAATCGATTCAGTTCGAAGGACATGCTAATTTGAAAGTCATACGTCGATTAATCTTCCAATTTCGTAGTTGATCCGCTCGATAAAATTTACGAGCGCATTAGTTATACAATTTATATAAGATTAACATAACGATAATTAACGAATCATCGATATTTAAAGTCTAAACTGTGGAAGTCCTCACTGACAAAGAACTTTATCGATAAACCCCTTTACAATTTTAAGAACATTTTTCGATTGCAAAATTGTTTCAGTGTAAAAAAATTCCAGGTACGATGTACGATCAAACGAAATGACGCGAAACGATAAGGGCAATGTATGTAATCTATGCGTCTCATATTTTATTTTTTCTTTGATATGAATAAGAAAAAATTTATTTCACTTAATAGTACGTCACGATCAATCGGAATACGATTTTCAACGAGAATGTGACAAGCACCTATTGATATCGCCTATTTATAAGTTCTAAATATACAGTAAACTCTAATTGCCTGAAAAATGCATTTTATCTTACAAAAACGCTCCGCCAATAAATTATAATACAAGTCTCGTAAACGAGGTTCATGTTCACGCGATATGCTCTGATTATATGATCTCTAAAAAATAAACTATAAGCTATATCGTGGTAAATACTCTCTAAGTGCCGGATCGTTTTTAAATCGCTTTTCCATATTTTGTTTCCTTATTTTAATCATTTTCTTTTACTTTCTTTTCCAGTGAAAGAAGGAGAGAGTCAGAAAGGCTGCGTCTCGAAAGGCGGAAAGTAAATACTTAAAAAGATACAATCGATGTTAAAGCTGTGTTACAAATGTGCGGTCGTCGATTACCTCTTGTAACATTTAATAATGCAAGACTTTACAGATGTTCAGAGAAAATAATTTGGATGAAATAAATCTGGGGAAGAATTCAGCAAAACCAAAGAACTTTCTCCATACTTTTAGCGAATATGTATTATATATATTTTAACAAAAATCACAATCCTGCCGATTATAAAAGTTTTTAAGCCTATACCAGAATATTCTAAAACTAACCTCTACGATAGGAGAACGATTCGATCGCTATGAAAGTTTTACAATCGGCAGAAGTGTGTCGGCCGACCATAATCGATAAAATGACCGTGTATAAGGCGTATTATTTCGTATTGTTTCCAAGTTATTGTTTCTGCGTCACTCCTGTAAAGGGAGCGCGTCGTGCAGTCGAATTAGTTTATTGGAATGATTGTAAACAGTCTACAAATCCGATGCTTCTTTTTGCAGTCTCTAGTGTGCGTTTGTGTAAACGAATATGCTGTTGGAAGAGCCGTAAAAAGGCCTGGCACGTAAAAGGCGTGTCGTGGCGGTAAAATTGTATAAAATTCGTTTAAAATTGGCCTCTAAAAAGTCAGAGCTTTTCCGTTGTTCGAATTTTCAGTATAAACGTTAATTCCATGAACATTATTGTATTCTTAATTATAAAAAATTCCTTGTTGCATTTGTGGCTCTTCTTGCAGTGAAGATTAGGCTATTGCGTTTCCTCGTTTTCTTTTTACATCGTCAATCGTTTCTTTCGTTTCAAGTCAATAAATATTTTCGTTGCGGTGTAATAACGCGTTGTAAATATGCTTCGAAAGTAAAATGTTTCACGTCTTAGGAGTATTCTTCACATCGATACATACCTAGCACGACGATTAACACGCTGGCAACGACAACTGCGTATCAAGTTCGAAATGAGCCTCGTTTTCAAGCAAACAATACACCCCCGATCGACGTCTCGAGAATCATTTCGAACGCGTTCTACACGTACTATCGATCTTTTACGTCGTTTAATTGATTCCACACACCTCTAGCTAATGAACGACACGGTTACATGGGTTCCTAGAAAAGTCTACGTTCTCTATATTCTCGAGTACATTACACACACGCTTGTCTCGAAGGAGCTTTCCCTTACGTTCTATATACCTGTGGCTTTGGCAGTTGCGTATCTCTAAGTAACGATAGGCCTCGAGAATTCTTTATTGCAATCAAGAAGGAAGGATGTTCCTAGTCGAGCGAAAAAGTAAGTTGGCGTTTCTTCCCTGGTCCAAGTTTGTTTCTTCGTTATGATTAAACGATCAGAAATTCACGATTCTACAGTCTACCTTGCTATCATCTCAGCCAACAGACAGATTCCTGTCGTCTACATCGATCGTACATATTAAAACAAATCTATCGACGAATTATAATTGTTGCCATCGTTTCTTAAACAATTTATCTCACACTCTTCCTTATCCTTATTTATAATCCTTGCTTTTCACTGGATCATTAAGCATCGCGATATTCTAACTGACGAGCTGCTCCTTTCCTACCGAATTGGCAGTGGAATTACATCTAAACTTTGAAATTTGCTTCAATCGATCGCTTCTACTGCTGTTAGGTTTCTAGCGGATAGAAACTGTTTCATCATCAGGATTGTCGTCCAATCCAAGGAACTTGATGGAGAGGTGTCGCGAATTTAGTGCAATGTAGCTGCATTTCCCAAAAGGAGAATGGCAAATTCTTCTCAGCTCGCGTGTATCCAAGTTTCTTTTTCCATTCCCGTTTTTCCCTCGTCCGTGTTGAAGATTTGAATCTGATCTTTGGATGCTCAAGGTTGCTGCGCGGCGTGAATCATCGCCACCTTTAAATCCTTGGCCAAGTGAGAGACGTCCACCACGCTGTCGACCATTTCTTGAACGGCGGATACGCTTGGGAAGAATTGAGCCGCCTGTTTTGTTTTCGACACGGTCTGTGCCAGGGCCTCGTTCAGCGCGTTCGCACACTGCAACACGCGCGTTCTCACGTCGTTCCTCGTCACGTTCCTGTGCACTGTGTCACCGATGTGCACCAGTCTATGGGCACTCAGCACCACGAACTTTCCATGCGCTAGGAATACCTGTTTTTTGAAAGGTGAAAAACATTTTCGTTAATTTCTTTTCGTCATTTCATTCCATCTCTTAGAATAGATAATTTAATTTTAATTAGAATAGATTTGGGAGTTTCTTTTCTCGTTACGCAATATCAGCGAGGGAGCAATAGTGGAAGTATCAGTATGATAGAAGAGAATTGAATAAATTTAACTCATTCGTTTACAATAGGGGCCGAGCATAGACATCACGAGTGAGCGACATGGTTTGTAGAATGTAAACATTATGGATCGGACTCGTGGCTTAGTTTTCGTCGATATTTCCTTGTCTCAGTTACGTGTTATTCTTCGTCGTGTTCGGACGTAGTGGCTCGACGCGCGACCAACTCTGTTATTGACTGCGCCACGTGCCATCGAAACTCAGGTAGGCCAAGGAATTAGTTTCAAAACTAGCTCTCTCGTTAAATTATTTTCATTGCTAATCGATGTGAACCTTAGCTTTCTAATTTGTTAACTAGCTTTAATATTATTAACTGTATTTACTACATTTAGGCGTACATTATAGACTGGCGTATATATATAATTAACACTAGAACTACCAAAGAGGTCTTAAACTTCTTATTTCTGTGATTATTGAGAGAATGTAGTTAACTTTGGCAAAATTATTATAGATTTTTATTCGAATGCATATATGTAGTTACGTATGCTCTCTTATTTTTATTGTACTGCTTTAATTATCGTCAATAATGTATATCGTATTTAGGTACTCATTACAGATTGGTAGTTCTAGTGTTAGTATATCTGTCATTATAAGGGAAAACACCGCATGTCGTATATTTTCATTTTCGAGATATCGAACGTCGATTCTTTTTATTAGCATCCGCTTAAATTACTTAACTTTTGACGAGGTATAGGATCTGTCTTTAAAAATGTTTTCTAACAAATACGTAAATCGTATGTTCTGCAAGCCAACTGTTAAATAAATTAGAATTCCTAAAAAGTGAGAAAATTATATATATTCGCATATATTTAACCCTTTGCACTCGACGATTTTTTGGCTAGAGAAGAGTAGAAATTCAATAATTCTCTACTAAAAAATTGACGATACTTTTTCGAGCAGTAAATAAAGAATTGTATAATTATTTGACTTCGATACCTCGCACATTGTTACATTACATTAAATTTGATATATTAATTAATATCGATCTTCCAAATTTTATGAAGTGGTGACTGAAGCTCACCTTTCGAGTGCAAAGGGTTAATAAATAGTTAAATATATAATTGAATATCCTACACCACCACTAGGACAAGATTGTCTTCAATTTTCTCGAAAAGTCCCACTTTCTGGCAAATCTTGGAGCTTCGGAATAGCACTTTCCATTTAATTTATCTACACAGGCTAACTGCAAGTCGTAGATGCAACAGAGACACGCTTGTATAATTAAAAGCTTATTCCACTGATACTCCATGTGGTGTTCTCGTGTCACGACTGAAGCAAAGGATAATAGTCGTTTAGATTTCCAGGTTTACGGTACTCGCCTTTGGTGGTTGGTTGTGCTCGACCGTCTGCATGAAGGCGTCAATGGCGTGAGTCAGGTGATTGCCATGCGTGATCACCTGGGCGGCATAGAAAGCCAGCAATTGTTTGTCGTTGGGATCCATGGGTGTCGGTGTCGTGGGTGGCATTTGAATCGTGGCATTGTCCGACTCGGATACCAGCAGATCGTAATTACTACGAAGTTCCTGCGGCAGCGATGCTCTCACTTCCTCTCGTTGCTTTGCCACCACCTCCCTCGAGTCCAGATTTACGTAATCGTAATCCTCGCCGGCGCCGCTGTTGTTGCTGCTACCGGTCGAGATGATCGACGACCGTTTGAAGAGCAGCGTCGAGTTCCCCTGTTGACCAATTTCACGAGTTTCGTTACTTTTCAAGGGAACATTAGAGACAGACGCCGCCATTTTAAAACCGATTGTAGACATTTGTTCGGTAATTTAGGCCGGTAGATCAGGATTTCTGGTGGACTTCTCAAGTGTTTGAACTCTCTATTTTCCTCGATCATAATCAAGTCTCTTATTATAATCTCGATTACTTGAAAAATCTATCATTTTTGTTATATAATTTAAATTGGAAGATTAGGATTTCAGTCATTTGAAATTTACCTAATCGACCTAATCTATTTAACGAAAATAATGGATTTTTCAAGTAACTAAGTTATAAAAAGAAACTTGTCTCAGTATTTTAGAAAATTTTTTAATTCTCGAGGCTTTCAGTGATCGTAGTGAACTCATCGATGATAATGAAAATGGGACGTTTCGTTTGAACTTTATGGGGAATTTATTTCGCGCAATGTTTATATAATATAATTTCCGGGAATCCAGTATTTTTCCAGAACCTCGATATTCGATATCGAATGTCGAGATATTTTCGAGGTCTCGTCTTGTCTCAGACACCGAGATTCAAAACCTTCGAGACCTCGCGCACCTGTATACATAGCGACCCAACGGTACCCATTTTCAATTTTATCGCTCGTGGATGCTCACCTGAGTAACACCTAGCGACCTGTCGACACCCTTTTTCGGTTCTACCAGCCAAGAAACACAGTCCCATCGTTTGTGGATCCTCACCTGAATGAAACTGGCCACCTGACGAACGTCTTCCGTGAGTGCCCGGGCGCACGCGATCAGCTGATCGAGTGGATCCGGTTGCACCGATGGCAGCAGGGTGGAAGGTGGCCCGTTAGTAGGTGTCGGGGTATCGCTACCCCCGCGGCATAGCTTGCCGGCGTCCCATTCCATCGCGTCCAGCTCGGTGGCGGCTTCCTGCACGAGCTTGTCGGAATCGCGGAGAGCCTTGACCAGGGGTCGCAGTTTCGTGGCCAACCCCTTGTCCGGCGCCTTTCCCGCGTTGCCCAGCGTGCCTGTGTACAGAGAGAAACATAGAGAAAAATAGGAAAAAGAAAAAATAAACGCAGAGAAGTCTCTTGAAGGGATTTCTTTCCAGCTTGCTTCGTTAATTCGACATGGACCTCTTGTTCCTCGTTGAGAGCCACTTCGCCTCTGACTCTGTTTCGCTCTTCGTGGGAGTAATTCGCGTATGAGGTGGAACAGGGTGGAATTTTTTGTCTCGCGTGCATTATGGATTATAGTTATGGGTAGCTTTGGAAGCGTAGGTGGTGTAGATGAAAACGTTTTCTTTCTAGTAGTGGATTTTTGTTAATGTAATCAGGTCTGACTTCGCAGAGCTTAGACCCAAGTGCCGACGATTATTCGAATGCGATGAGAGCAGAAAGGAAAAATCTATAGTGCATTAGAGACAATGATGATTGAAAAGAATCTCAAGAACCCTCAATAAGTAAGTCGTTCCTGGAGTTTGAGGATGTGGAACAGTAGCTATCTAGTCTCTTTGAGCAGACTATAGGTCTTCGTGATCTTTGTGTAGTGTAGTAGACATTGAAATTGGAGGCTTTTGGTAGAATGAATTATAGATGTTTAGGTAGATGTATATATTAGTAATTTTGGTTCTTGGGTATGGAGGTACTCATTGCGGAAGAAGTTGGGATTAAAGGTTGTTCCTGATAGATGTATACATAGTTGGTAATAAGTACATAGTCAAATGGTAATATTACAAAAGTAGTATTATTATAATTATTTTTTAGTGGTTGTGGATTTTGACTAGATATAGGGGTAGTCTTCGTAAGTTACAGGAGTTGAGATTATAATACTGGATGTTCATGTAGATTCATATCTTGGATACTTGCAACTTCTAGCTAAATGCAATATACAAAGAAACACTATTATACTTAATGTAATATTATTATACTTCATCAAAGTGGACGACGAATAGGGACACGTATAATCAAGTTTCTGCTTCAGTAAAACCTACGTGAACTTTTTCAAAAGCAGCGGTATACTTTCAGTGACTATAAAAGTAGATGGTCTGAAGCTAGTAGTTATTCAGCAGTTCCATTATCCGAAGTAAAAACATTTCTCTTTTACCCACGATACGTAATCGATCACCGACGACGCTAGAACGCAATGAAATCGCGAGACATAAGGAATTCAAAGACACGATCCAATTACCTTCGGCGAATTCAGCCAGATCGTGCAAGGACGTTCTAAGCCTGAGCGCTGCGAGCCTAAGGTCCATTAGGGTGGCGTCTAATCGCTGCGGCGTTCTCCATCCAGGACTTACGAAGCCGAGTAGCCTGGCTATCGCGGCTGATGCCTCGCTCTGCAGCCTTTGCAGACCTTCCAAAGCGGAGTCCAGCTCCAGAGGAAGCTCCTTGCTGACTGGAACATCGTAGATCTGCTGCGTTTGCGGCGGGGGCGGAGGTGTCGGCGTTTTAGGCACGGGGGTGTTGTGCCGGGACGGTAACGAGGATGCTGGAAGACGCGATCGAGGTACATCGTAATCCGGGGCGGCCAGACTGGATCTGAAACGGGAAGTGACCTGGGTTAGGGTAATTCGTGCATACATTTACACTGCATAATATATTATGTTAATCGTGGAAGTAGCGTAAGTCAATGATTTCATCGCTTATTCTGTCTTCTGTTCGTTTGCTTCACGTTGTTAAATCGAAGCTACGTATTTCTGACGATATTGGACTGTTGGGTCGAGTTTGTAGCTCTGTCGCAATTAATATTTTTGATATTTTGAAAGGAGATAGGTATTTGCGTTAATAAAGGTAGATAAAGGTAGATGTCGAGATCCTTCGAAATCTATCTTGTACGAAACGTGGCAATTGGTACAATTGGTTAGGAAGAGAATTAATAATATATAAAAGTATTTTGTTTATTATTCGATTTCTTTATTTTAGTATTTTGAGTCGGAAGAAATTGCATAGAGGGAAGTTTTATATGAGAAAATGACACTTTATGTGAGTTAATTGGAAACGAGTGGTGTGTTACTCATAGAGATTTTAGATTAGGAATTTCTGATTGCTATGTAAAATTTTGTAATAGCAATGTTATTGTAACAAAATATTTCGTGATATTGGTAAGGTATATCTATTATTAATTTATATTTCTGTTAATATTTTCTGTTCCTAATTCTTTTAATTAATAAAGAAAACCGTTGTTACTCGATTGCTTGTCAGTTTTATATAATCGTACAATTTATATCAAATGTATAACTATGACATACGTAGTAAGAAGAATATTCCAAGATTATATCGGTAAAATTGGGAAATAATTATTTAGGATAAACGTTTGTTACAAATACGAACCGTGGTGGCGCTAGTAAGTTAAATAGGAAATGGCCTTAAGGTTGCTGAAACGCTTATCCGCAAAGCGATTCAACACCTAAAGTTATTAAAAAATATCAGCGATAATTGTAACCTTCGTTGGTCATTTTTATGTAACAGTACTATAATAAATTTCGCTTATCAAACATTTTACTTCACCGCTTGTTCATTCGAGCATGAAACTTCTCGTTACCGTTTTGTCAGCTGTTGATGCACTAGTTCTTAGGAGAACAAAGAAGGAGAACACTTCTCTGAATTTTATCGCTGAAAACCTGGCCATTTCAACAGCCATCTAAAGCGTATTTCCATTTGGTTTCTCCCCGTTTCAAAGTTTCCCATTCATTTAACCATTACGAGGCCACACTTCCATGGAGCGCTATTAATCAGTGCCAGCGAAAGAGAAGTAGAATAGAAGTAATAGTTCCAAAGGAACAGTTCGAAAACTACGGACTTCCTTGCTCCAAGTATAATACTTCGTACAATTACCTAATTAAGAACGACCAATGTTATCGACGAAGTCGAGTAATTCTCTCTGAACGATACCAATTATTGCAAATTAATACGTGTAATTTTTCAGTGAAATAATCCGTTATTTCTAGGGGTGTGAGAGATCCCGAATCTCATTTGGGACCAGGTCTCCAAACTTTTGAGAGTCCCGAAAGAACTTCGTGACTTTCAAAAAATTTTCGGAAATTTCCGGGATCGCACACACCTTTAATTTTTTGACGTTTCTGAGTTTTACAGACACGAGTCCGTAGGCGATGGAACTTACGCGAGATCTATAATGGAAAAATCTTTTCCAGAGGTGTGTGAGATCCCAAATAATCGGGACCAGGTCAACCAAACTTTTGAGAGTCCCGTAAAAACTTTGTGACTTCCAAACAATTTTCGGGAATTTCCGGGATCGCATACATTTCTAAATTTTTGACGTTTTTGAGCTTTGTAGACGCAAGCTATTAGGTGATGGAACTTACGCGAGATCTATAGTGGAAAAATATTTTCCAGAGGTGTGCGAGATCCCAAATAATCGGGACCAGGTCACCAAACTTTTGAGAGTCCCGGAAGAATTTCGTGACTTTCAAAAAATTTTCGGGAATTTCCGGGATCGCATACGCCTTTAACTTTTCCACGTTTTTGAGTTTCATAGACGCGAGTCCTTAGGCGATGGAACTTACGCGAGATCTTAGATGAAACGATTTTCTCCAGTGGTGTACGAGATTTCAAACAATCAGGGCGAGATGTCAGAAAACTTTTGAGATTCCCAAATGCGATTCCCGAAAAACCTAAGATCCCGAAAAGTTGTCTGAAATCTCGCAAGCTTCGTGATCTCACTCACCTCTATTTATTTTTAATCATATAATTAAAGTAACGCGAATAGGATTCTATTAACTCTTTGCGGCACAGGATTTCAGATAATAAAATAGGCTCATGTTGCATGGAAATTTTTACGTAAATAAGACGAAATATAAACCTATGAGCATGCAGCTATTGCAATATTTCCAGGTGGGACTAAAAATGTCCCACCATGCATTACGATGCATCAAAATGGTGGGACACTTAATCCCAGCGTACCCCAAAGAGTTATTAGTGCCATAACCAAAAATTTCTTTTCTCATACGTAAATAAAACTTACAAGCTAATTTTCAATGCTCGGTAGTTACATTTATATTCGATGGGAAAATTTATCATCGAATAAGCCTCATCTCAACGTTCGAATAACATAATCGAGGAGAGTAAATTTCTCAGCTGCGAATCGCGTTGGAAATTGCAAATGTCCCATCGCAGGCTTTATTCTTTCCCTTTTCTCCGCCGTAAATGGCACCGATTTCCCCGAAACTGCAGTAGGAATGACCGCTGGTTGGCACTGGTCCGGTATTTAAGCCCGAGCTTCTAGAAATAAATCACTTCCTAGCACAGCTGTACGTCTCGTTACGCTGGCGAACGTATAAAGTTCAACGCACTCGAATGTTGACGTCTCAAATGTACTCGTCGAGTATCCATCGCGATAGCACGGAGTTGCTTTAAACAAGTGCTACGACTTCAAAAGCTCACCGTTCAAAGCATCGCGCAGTAATGGTTTAATTTCGGATGTACGTTTCATTGAAATGGACTAGCCCCGAATAGGGAATTTCGAAGCTCGCAAACGTGGTTCACGCGGTTATGCCAACAAGTAAGACGCTAAATATAAAGGTAACGACACGAGTCTGGTTGCTAGCTGTTGAAACACGAATGCTCTGTTGATTTATGCTTCCAGCGAAAATATGGTTCAGCTGTCACCGGTTTTATGGAAAAAGAAATTCGTTTTTACGGTGCTCCAGGATAGAAACTGTAATACTACTGGAAAATTCACCATTTTGAGGTTAATTTCACGAATTTATTTCCAATATTGGTAAATATATTGGCGAACGAGTATTAAATTTTCATTTTCATTTTCCGAAAATGTTTTAGGTATTATTTTACATAAAATTGTATTCGTGACAGGTTTATTATTTAATTTCATTTTTGGGACGCGATCAAGGAGAGTGCAAGTTCTTTGGGTCATTGATTTAGTTGAAACTTTGCAGGTTTGTAGATTTAGTCATCCAGTTGGAGAAAATGTACCAATATAAGGCGAACTACTCCATAGTTTTTGAGATATTTACGATTAAAGCTTTATTATTGCCTTAATTACAGATTTATTTCGAATATTATTATTATTATATTATTATATATATTATTGATAAATATTCGAAATAAATCTGTAATTAAGGCAATAATAAAACGCTAATTATAAATATGGCGAAAGCTATTGAGTAGTTGGCTTTATAATGATTTATTCTCTGGATGGCTAAATCTATAAACCTGCAAAATTTCAACTAAATCTATGACCCGAAAGACTTGCACTGCCTTTGTTAAAAAAATCCGTGATCTCTTTTATCAGCTAATCTCCCTATATATGTAGTAACAACGCGAACTATGAAAGCTATTCAAAAAATTTTAATGGAGCAGGCGTCCGAATTAAACTTCGCAACTGTGGGAAAACAAGGCTTCTTTTTGCAAATAAACGAAACTGGATTTCTTTTTCAGGAAATAGAGTGAGAGATTCCATTTTTTAATTATGCAGTACACTTCTTTTCACGGTGTAATATCATGATTAAAAGAGTACATTCGGGATTAAAAGAAATTTTTGCATTTAAACAGCAGCGGAAATTGGTGAATTTCGCGATGAATACCGACTTAATTAAAACAGTCGAGTCTCGATTAAAAGTTACTTTAATCATTTTTCCCTCGAATCGTACGTTATAATTGCTTTCGTTTATTGAATTGCATAATTATGCGTATAACTCGTTTGAAACTGCGCGAGCAGATAATCCTTATCGATTTTCGTGTCATTTAAATGTAAATTTCCACGCCATTGTTGTCTTCCAGGACGATAATTTCACGTGCGAATAATGTTCGGAAAAGGTCTAACAATTAGAGGCACGAGTATTCGCAATATACAAACTGCATGAAAAATTGTCCAAAAAATCCGAAGCTCGAGTAGAGTGAATCCACGAAGAAAGGGTATAAGAAAATGCAAGCAAGAGACAGGAGATAAAAATAGGAATGAAAATAGGAATAAAAATTCAGAGAAACGTAGAAGCAGGCGGAGATAAAGCGAAATCCTGTTGCAAACAGAACTCGAAAGAGAGTCTGAACTCATTGTCAGAATGATGACTGGTCTCAGAAGCCAGCAGACGTAAAGTTCAACGAGTATAGAAAACACAGGGAGTAGATGACAGCCAGATAATTTTCAATAATAATTTAACTTTATAGCGCAATTAATTTATCTTTCGCTATACTTAACTCCTATTCGATAAAACTCGATTCATCGTGTGAACGAATGATGTGTCTGATGTACAGGGTGTCCCATTTAAATTGGTTCAGGGAAAAATTTTCTTATATAGTTGATTCAAAGCGAACAAGCTACCACGTGTTTATCAGGATTTTGAGCTACGGAATACCAAAACGCTAAATACCAAAAAATAAAGTAATGGACTATAAGACACGTGACAGTTTACTGTTTTAAAATCATCTATTTATGAGATTTTGGCTGTGAGAGCTTAAATGAGACACCCTATATAGGTGTCTATGTCTATGTCTGTATTCTAATGTCTAGAAGCAATTGCGTTGTTGTATCCTGTTAGATTAAGGACCTAAGATACAGCGATGAGGTCAAGTATCCTAGACGACTAGTCGTCTGTGACGTGGACAGAGATCTCTCCTTCTGCCAGTACCAAACAGAGAGTGACAAAGAGTGTTTGACAAATTTCTTGGATTGTTAGAGTTCTCATGTAAGGTTATGTTTAAAAATATTAGACAAGTCTCTATATAATTGTATTGACGAGCTCTATTATAATCAGTATTATGAACCGTATTCGCAATATACCCTTTTCATACCCTTTTTATTCTTCTGTTATCATTAAACCCAGTTCCTGATCTCCACTCGATCCAACAGCCTACTGATCATAGCCATATTCCAAGAACATCATCACTATGTTTAACCAGAACCAAAGCTAATAGCAGACTAGTCGTCTATGACGTGGACAGGGCTACCTCCTTCTGCTAATACCAAATAGAGTGGTTGACACATTCGTTGGATTCTTAGAGCCTTCACGTTAGGTTATATTTAGGATATTAAAGAAATCCCTGTATCTATTTCCTAGTCATTATATAATTTTTTCGAGCTCTATCATAACCAGATTCACAAACTGTATTTACAACATACCCTGTCCACACTTTTTAGTCTTTTGTTATCACTAAACTCCAGCTAACAGCCCACTAGGCACAGCTATTAAAACAACATCGACACTGTTAGAGCCAGAACCAAAGTCAATATCAGTCTGATAAATCCCCATTTTCCAGGAATCCTACCCAAATCGTCATCAGCCTGAGCCATCGGCCTAACCTCTCTCGTCAGACGGTCATCCGATTAAACGGCGATTGAACAAGGTATACTCTAACCTGGCAGTCGTATTATACATCCCAGAGGGATCACGTACCGGTTCGATCCGCTGAGGGATCCATCGTTGGTGAGGCTGGAAGCCGAGCTGCTTGGGGTGAGGGGTTGCAGCGGTCTGGGCACGTCGTAGCAATCGAGCGGCGTCACGCCTGATCCTCCAGAGCAGTTCGAGTTCGGCGTGCAGGAGGTAGGTGGCCTGGGGATGTCGTAGCACGAGGGCGCGGGACTCGGGCTGCTGGCTGGCGAGGGTATCACTGGCACTGCTCGCGGTGGCACGTCGTAGCAGTCACCAACGTCGCCGCCATTGTCCACGGAACTTCTGCTGCCTGTCGTGTACCGGCCTGCACAGATATTTCACGAGAAAGTTAGACACCTGTGCTGTCAAGGTCGCGAAGTACAGGGTGTAGAGAATCGAACGTCGCGAAGGTGTATAGGGCGTACGAGAATCAAACGTCGCGACCTTCGCGGCGAGATTCTAGCCTTTGTCTTCATCGGATAATCGGTGAGGATTCGTTACTCGATAGTAATTGGAAAATTATTTTTCAGGTCAATTGTTCTTCTCTGTGATATCTTATTATAGTCGTATTACTCTTATATAGAGTAGATATCTTAGATATTTTATTCCACTCGTCATCGTCTGATCGATACTTGTATCGAGTGTGCATCAAATTTGTTGTTGCGCTTACAATTTATTCGATATTAATATATACCGCGAAATAACGATGGATTAGCGATAATTTATCGATACTCGATGATCACCTCTAGGAGGTTTGATGAATTGGGATTGTTTGATGAAGGAAACTGAAGGGAACTGAACTTTCGTCTGGATGGGTCAAGGGGATGGTGTTGTTGGGATGTTGCGGTGTAAGGGTTGGTTCGGGGGAAAATGTTTCGTGGGGAAGTTTTGAGCCGCTGAACGTTGATATATCGTTTAATCCATCTAGGTCTCCTGTTGAGCTGGGCTTGACGTTTTATCGGGCTGGTCCGTGAGGGAGCGTGTATACTGCTTTTGGTCTTTTCGAGTTTATCGTGGAGGCTGTACGAGTTAATGGCGGACATGTTTATGGATGAGAATATAATTCGTATGTTTCTGTTTATTATACTCGAAAATATGCTCGAAGTTAGGTGCTAATCTGATATTTACTTCACCGAATATTAGAACATATTAAATAACAAAAATGGGTGGATTATTAATCTCAAATATGCAATATAATTATCACAAAATTCTCTAACTAAATCCCCCATACCTCTATACTTACATCACCAAATATAAAAAGAATTTTCTCCCACAATTACTTTTTCGCGGAATCGTTCAAACACGCGATTGATCCAAATAAAAAAAATATATGTATTAACCCTTTGCACTCGGTGATTATTTTCATTACAGAGAAATAGCAATTCAAAGATTTTCTACTGTAACATCGAGGACATTTTTGAAACGGTAAATAAGGAATCGGGTATAAATTAAGACTTAAAATTATTTTATTTCGACATTCCATGCAATCTTAGGTTATCTAAGATTTGATATGTTAATTAACATGGAATTTTAACTTCGGAATTTGATTAAACGGTGACTTAGGCTCACCTCTCGAGTACAAAGGGTTAACCATTTGAGTCCCAGAGGGTTTTGAAAAAAACACTGTCCCTAATCCCAAGCAGCGCGACCGCGCTGCCTCTAAGTGGGTACGACGAAACCCAAGCAGCGCGATAGCGCTTCGTTTATATTATGGCGATGAATGGTCAAGTGGCGCGATAGCGTTTCGACTTCGACAGTCGGTGACGCACCGTCAGCTGTCGAGAACGCTCGAAATGTGCTGGGTCTTCTCGACATGAAATCTGAACAGCGCGATCGCGTTGCTTGGGACTCAAACGGCTAAGGAACCATAGAAAGGTTCCACAGAACCTATCAGAACCTGTCTAAAGGAAGCATAGAAAGTGTAGCAAGAAAAATTCCTAGGCCTGCAATAATCTAATCTGAAGTTCGATAAATCACGACCAATAACACGTACAATAATTGTTAGTTTTCGCCCCTAACATATATTCCGGCTGGAATTTATCGCGGCCGTTAGAAGCAGATACAATATCGTTAATTTATTTGCCGAGTATCCCGACGATCGCGATACCATTGTTCTCGGGGAATTTTTAAACGACTGCGATGCCGGCGAACGGGGTCAGTCGGTCGATAGGAGAACCGTGACAGGATCAGCAATCTTTCACTCTGGAGATCGGTTAAGGTTCCTCGAGATAGCTTTGTAATTTCCTACGTTAATACCCCCCCTCGTTCGAGGAATGTCCCGGATACGTCGATTCGTGAAAGGAACTAGGAAACCATTTTTCTCCGATCGCCCGAGATAAATAGCTGATACCGCGCGCGGATACGCGCGAGTAAGATGCCTCGCGGTGCATCTTCCTCCTGATCGAGTGTAAGAAACGAAGCAAGATAACCGCGATTTCTTCCGGTCGCAGTGACAATACCCCTTTCATTCTGAGAGACGTCTTTTTCATTTCGCTTTGGACAGATATTAATTTCGCCGGTCGGCCTTTGCTTGCATCGCGAGACAGAGAATATCGAGGGACGATTTATTATTGTTTTCCGGGAAGCGTTATTCAGCTTTGTCGAATGAAATGAGCTTAAAGAAAAAGGAACTTTAAATTGGAATTTCGGTGACTTTTAAAAATTGGTCTTGTGGTACGTGTACATGTGCAATCGAAAATTATATATACGATTTAGATAATAATTATTATTTAGATAGTAATTAATTAATTGTGTTTGAAGACGATGAAATTAGATGGAATAGATTAGAATTTATTATAATTGAATGTTGTTTAATTTTTGGATACCCATAATATGTATCGCGAAGAAAATGATCGTTTACTAATTAATTATAATTAATTATTATTATTTAGATAATAATTAATTACTTGTGTTTAAAGACGATGAAATTAGATGGAATAGATTAGAATTTATTTTAATGGAATGTTGTTTAATTTTCGGATACTTTTAATATGTATCGCGAAAAGAAATGATCGTTTACTAGTTAATTATAATTAATTTTAGGAATAACATAATTATTTAAAAGAAATTAAAATTATTGATTCCCGGGAAGCGTTATTCAGCTTTGTCGAATGAAATGAGCTTAAGGTAAAAGGTACTTTGAATTAGAATTTTAGTGACTTTTAGAAGTTGGTCTTGTGGTACGTATACATGTGGAATCGAAAATTGTATATACGATTTGGATAATAATTAATTAATTGTGTTTGAAGACGATGAAATTAGGTGGAATAAATTAGAATTTATTTTAAGTGAATGTTGTTTAATTTTTGGATACTTTTAATATGTATCGCGAAAAGAAATGATCGTTTACTAATTAATTATAATTAATTTTAGGAATAATAGAATTATTTAAAAGAAATTAAAATTGCATAATTTTTGGAAGCTATTTTTAATATGTATCTGCGAAAAAGATGTGATCGTTTGCGAATGAATTATAATTTTAAGTATGACAGAATTATTTAAAATAGATTAAAATTTCTTCGAATTAAAATTGTTTCATTTTTAGGAGCTGTTTTTGATATGCATCTCGGATCGAAAAAGGAATCTTTTACCAATTATTTCTAATTGCCTGTAGGGATGACAGAATAGCTTCAGATAAATTCGAATTTGTTTTATTTGTATGCATGTTGGATCGAAAACCATCGCTTAGTAACAAATTACTCGTCCTTGAAAAAAATTAATAGATCAATAATGTAATAAACCAATTATCGATCCTCCTTTTTCATTATCGTTTAACAAAATTAACAAGTGAATTAATGGAAATACTTTAACTTCCCGATGTAAAGAACAATTATCAAATTATCCATCAATAAGGAATAAATACCATCTTCCGCACATTTTCATAAATTTCTACGATCCTAAAAAATATCGTCCACATATTTCCTATTTATAAAGCAATAAAAGCATCGGGAAAATAATTCCAGATATTTTTCATCTCTTAAAGTGATCCTTGTTTCGTCATTATCTTTTAACAAGTGCAGCAATTTCCACTTCCATCTCGTCCAGCTATTTCCGCTTGCTAACAGAGTCGTATAACCAGAAATATCAGAATATCTTACACGTTCGAGCAGTAAAATATCGTCCAAGTGTCCCCATACTATCGATCTTCCGTTAACATACGAATGCTATGCGGAAAGTTTTTATTGCAAATATTGTAAGGCCTGATGTATATTCACGAGCCGATACGCTGGCGGTTTTTTGAATGGAAATGGAGATTGTATTCGCAATAACGCCGTTTAATGAAAGAATTCCGGGAGAAACATCGACGTGTTATCGATTCTCAATAAATGCTCTCTATGGAAGTATCTTGTTTTCAATCGAATACCCACGAATAAGAGTATAATGGCCGATTAAAACGATTAAATGAATTGCTCTGTTACAGGCCAACAACGAGTTCGGACATCCTCCACCGACTACCATTTTGTTTTTCCAAAGCCAGTCGCAAAGGCATCTGCTTCTTCATTGGATCACTTTGTGGCAGTATTTCGTGGTAAGGTATTATTTTATCCTCACACTTTTATTATTTTATAATTGTACATAAATTTTTCAATTTCTATTATCAAATTTATAGTTTATTTATCGATAAGAATTCTTTATAAGAATTTTTAATTTCTTACGTAAATATTAGACTGCACGTTGTATTACTTAATTAATTCTTAGTGATATTTTCATTCGATAATATTTAATATTAACCATTTGCACTCGACGATTTTTTGACTAGAGAAAAGTAGAAAATCAAAGATTCTCTACTAAGCAACTGAAGATACTTTTTTGAGCAATAAATAAAGAATTGTATAATAATAGAATTGTAGAAGTATTTGCTTTCGATACCTCGCACACTGTTACATAACATTAAATTTGATATATTAATTAATATCGATCTTCCAAATTTTATGAAATGGTGACTGAAGCTCATCTCTCGAGTGCAAAGGGTTAATATTCGATAATTCTCATTTAATTATTATTAGATAAATTATATAAGATTGTTGCCAAATATCTCGTGCTTGTTATACTTTCCTGTTTTCCTTTTTCTTTTCGCATTTTAGTATTGTAATTCGAGTATTTCTATTCGCGGAGATTCGTACGGATAGATATATAAATGAAAATAAATGCATCGAAAGGCAGGATAATTATTCCGTTCGCATTAAAATCGCTTGATACTTCCTCTTGCACACGTGTGCCGAAACAACATCCGGTGCATGATTAATAAAACATTCGCAAACAAAAAGGAGATTTTGCACCGGGAACAGGAAGAACGCGGGAAAATGTATCCATTATGAAAATTCGCGCAATGTTTATCCGAAATGAAATAATAAATATCAAAATGTTCGTGTAACTCTAATTATTGGCCGTCTTCGAAATTAATATTTTCGATCGTATATTTATTCGTTAAACGATATTAATCGAGACATGTACAGTGTACAGTAAACAACGTTTCGCTTATGTTTCATTCAACTTGAAAATATCGGAAACTCGAACTGAAATTAGCATAAACGAAGGTTGACTTCGGATAAGGATTGACAGGCAAGTGTGAGACAGATGGGAATATATTATAATAAAAAATATAAATTATTTCATCTCCGTTTTCTGACTAAAGATAATAAAGAACAATAGACAATAGCAAAAGATTATCATAATCTCCGAGTGTTAGTACAGTTATATAACTGCGACTAACTCGATTCGAACGAAAAGCATTATTCCTTTACAGAGAAAAATCAAATTTTCAACAATTTATTAAAGATTCGCAAAGGAATAATAAATTTAAAATTAATGAAAAAAAGTAAGCCAAAAATATAAAATAGTTCAGAAAAATGATTATATAAAAATTATAAAAATATGTGATATAATATAAATAAATTAAAAACATAAAAATATAAACTATAAATAATCGAAAATATAAATTCTTTTATTTACATTTGTTACATTTATAACTTTTATTACATTCCATTACAGTTTTCAATTATTTCCTTTTCAATTCATTATATGAAGCACAACGTCTGGGAAAATATATTCGCAACGCGTTTCCACGTAATTTTCAGCGAATGCGCGAAACTATTGAAGTTACTACGTCGCGGACGAATGGTTGGAGAACAAAACGAGGGGTTGCTACGCACCTGAGTTGTGTAAATGCTCGTTATTCGAGTTCAAGGGTGAATCGTGCCTGGAGGGTGGCGCAGGACTTCCTCGGCTCGCTGGAAGATCGTAAAGGTAGACGTCGCCGCATTTCTGTGGCGTCACCACCTGCGCAAAAATGATCAAACGATGATTAACGAGGGCTCGATTGTGAAAAATACGTTGATTTGAGCTTACAAGTCGTCTGGTACGCAACGCGTCTTTGCTTCCATTCGCAATTCAACACGCAGTGTGCATCACGAATACACTCGTTTGTCATTTTAACCGTATCTTAAATTTTTCACAAAATTTTTTTTTTTTTAGATATAGAATATTGGAAAGTATCGAGAATTATTAAAATTTTTTTGGTATCTTCTAGAGTAGGTGAGAAATAAATGATCGATCGGAAATTGCATGCACGAAGGTTATAATATCGTTACACGTTTCGCAATTAAATCAATTACACGGTGGATTAAGCAAGCATGTTTTAATTGAGTATTTATACGTTTCTTGACAGCCTTGTAATTATAGTATTATTAAGCGACTCGACGAAGGTTGCAATTATTACGAAAAATACACAGTTCAATGGTCTAGAATTTTATGAAACGTTTATTACGGAATTAGTATTAAATATTTCGCGAATTCTAGCAGGAAAATATGGAGGTGCACGATAAATCTGGCTTAATAAACCGAATTGGGCTTGTAACCTCAGAATACCCATATATCCTGATTATCAACGTGAAAATGTTTTGCTGAACATTACGAAAACTCTGTATATTCCCCAAATCGGTTTGTTACTGCACCATTAAACCACCCGTTTAATTAATCAATGAACTGGGCAAAACGCGCTGATAAATCATGTTAAATTACTATATACTTATATATCAACGGTGTATTATAGTATTCTCTTCAACAGATTCATAAGAATCTTAATAGATTTCGATACGCGAAGACAATTTGGGGAAATTTTAAATACGTGTTAAATACTAATTACGTATGTGATGTATGTTTTCAAAACAAACGATATTCGGCAAAACGAATACTAACACGGCAATTTTTCAAATTTTATCTCACAGATTATGGGAATCTGGACATTTTCCGGAATTTTGAATATTTTCAGGAGTCCAAGATTTTTCTAGGATCCAGCACATTTTCGAGAATTTTAGATATTTTCAGGAATTTTAAATATTTTCGGGATCTCATATATTTTCAGAAGTTTCGAATATTTTCGGGATCCCATATATTTTCAGAAATTTCAAATATTTTCGGGACCCCGATATTTTTAGAAATTTCAAATATTTTCGGGACCCCGATATTTTTAGAAATTTCAAATATTTTCGGGACCCCGATATTTTCTGGAATCCGGGACATTTTCGGAACCCCACGCACCCCTAACTCCAAATTTCCGCGACCCTAAGGATTCGCATAAACTCTGAAAGCGAAGCCAGAGGACGCAGATTACTCGGAGGATCGTAGACGTCGTTGGAAGAGGGTGCAAAACAGGGAAGGCGAGAAAATTGCGCGTATAGTAGAGAGCAGGTGGCGAAAGCGGGAAAGATCGAGGCCTGTGAAAATTGTCTTCGCGAAGTTTAAATCGAAATCTGTCGCATGGATTATCCCTCCGCCGATTTAAACGACACGAGTCTCCGATGAATTTATCGGGGCGAGTGGCAATCAGGCTGCTCCTCCCTTTTCCACGATCTCCGAAACAGGCCCCGAGGAGCTTCTCCAACTTTTTCCAACCCCGCCTCGAGGACTGTAATTGCGATACCTTGTTAATTCGGTTTCGAAACGATCAGAGAACCCGATGAAAGTTCGATCTTGTTGCAGGGAGAGACGTGCGCGAAGATCGGGAGGAAAAATAGGAAATGCAAATGCAGCGATGCAAAGTGGAAAATGAGAGACGAGAAAATGGCGGCACGCGATGTTTGTACGTGTTAATGACGGGATCTTTTATGCGGAATTGGTGGTAGTGAGGTATGATGAGACTCATGGGGTGGAAATGAAAGGAAGATTAATTAATACCTGAGACTAGACTGGAGGAACTTATTATACTGTTCATTCGTCAAATCGATCGATTTTACAGATCAAGGAAAATATACATTTGTTTCAAATTTTGAGAATTAATTAAAGTTGAATTTAAATAAAATCTGGAATTTTAAACAATTTTTAAAATGATCATAAGTTGATCATTTTAGTTTGTGAGTGGATTATGTAGCAGCAATATTATGTACATTATATTTAATTAATACGTAAATATATATCAATATGTAATACATTT